TTGAATTCCTTCAAGGCATGTATGATATTCTTCAATAAATTCCTCAAGAGAAAATCCCCATTAGACACAGATGGTTATAACAAATAAGGGACAGCTGTAGGAAATCATTGGTTTAGGTGACTACAAATATATATATTTTAAAAAACAACATTCAATTTGATCTTCCATAATATAATTCCCTCCCTTTGTTTTGTTCCCCAGTAGTACAAAGCATATACCTTCAAGCAAAAATTTTATTTGGGAATGAAACAAAGTGGTACAATCCATACCCAGAATTCTTCAACAGACTGATTTACATCCAAATTTTAAAATACATACGTGACACTTACCTTCTGAAATGCATACAAATGCTTATTGTGTAAACACAGGCGTAAACTTTATAGAGGACAAAATGTATGCATTTATGCTGCCACTCTCCAGCAGAATTAAAATATTCTTAAGTCTGAGAATATAGAAATTCATCCCAAATTAACAAGGCACTATCCTAAAATAACAGCATATTGAAGTAATGAAGCCAGTGCTGCTTTAACATTTGTTACATTTGTTTAAAGTCATGCATGCTTACTTCCTCCCTTAATATTCAACCTCCTATTTATAATTTCTTGACATACAAGTTGGCTTTAAAATTTGCCTTTTCCAAAAAGCTAAAAAAGTCCAAAGCACAAAGACAGGAAGAACAACTGATAATGGTAAAAAAAGACTGTGTGAGAGGTTTTAGAAGTTTTGTCTAGCTCCCTCTGGTTTCAATTTTTTTATTGAAACAGACACACTGTCATTTCCAAACCACAATAAATAAATACATCTGAATTTTTTGACTTCTCACTTTACATACCAGGCACTAAATTCTGCTCTTTTATGTGTAGCAAGAATATAACCCTGTTCTGTCGATCAAGGGGAGCAAAAGGCATTCAATATACTACGAGCCTATTCAGGTGTGATACCTGAAAGGGTGGTGGGCTGAAATCATGGTGGGAGATGGAAGCATGTACATAAATCCAGCTCATCACATCTCTACCCCATCTGGAAGTAGGACAAAACTTCTCACATTCAGTACAAATGTCTGCAAAGGTGCTTGTAATTATATTCTTCTGTTCATACTTAACAAGTGCCTTGGCAGACCTTCACCCTCAACACACAAAGGTCTTCTCCTGGAGTTGGTGGGCTATAAGGCTTATGTTTAGTCCTTCATATTTTCAGGCATAACGCTCAAGTACTGAAACCGTAGCATATCTAAACTGAAGTAAGACCTAGTGAGTATAGGGAACTGTCTTCCGAGTCATAAAGACCGGGTCAAAATGCCAAAGTGCTTCTGTATGCAAAACACAGCTTATCATTTAGGCAGAGGCCATTGTTTTCAAATTCCTTTTGCTCAAATTGGTGAATTAGTGATGCACGGCATGTGAAAGAGTCTCATATTACATCCAATCTATTACACTTTGCCAATCACAATAAAAGCAGTATTATTTATTTCACAGCATTCCACACTATGACCAAAATCCTGTTGTTTTTTAATGCAGTAAACTGCAATACAGTAGGTCCACTGAAAACATGAGATTCGGTGAGTCAGCTCCTCCATAAGTTCCATTGACCTACTCTAACTGTTAACTCACTATGTTTAAGTTGTAGTCAAAATAACTCCATTTGAATCAATGAAACATACAGAGGAACTGATTAAATAGGTTTATTCTAGAGTGACTTACTATCAACAGGAACTTGGCCACTGCCATTTAATAGAAGAAGACACCTACATTTTAAGGGAATAACTGCTCAGAGTGTCTCGGTATAAGAAGGCACACTCTGTCGCTGACCTATTGCTCCAAATTGCACTCATATGGTAGAAATGATCCAAGCCATGTGGTTGCATTATGCAGCTGGGTGTATGTCTTGATCTAGCAAAAACTGTAAAGAGCATATACTGTATTTCCATATAACTTTTTTAGGGGGAAAGCCAATTATCACTAAATTTGTTTCTGTATACACAAAAGTTCCTATATAACCTCTATCTCCCGAAATTCATGAACACCTATAATTTTAAAACATATTTTATCTGATCAAATATCTTTGCTTCATCAGTCCTTAAAGCATTACACAGAATGACAGTTATAAGCCCTTGAAAGTATTAATCAAATGGAGTCCATGGCTGAACGGGGTAGTGGGCCCTTGATGGTGGGGCTTTCTCATACCAGCTCCTAACATCCACAGAACAACCACAGATACCTCAGCTAGGCAACCAGAGCTGTGTGATAAGGGCCCCAGCAACCCCAAAACCTACAAGCACAGGTATCTCCATATATAAGCTTTCTGAGATCCAATAGTCAAACAGTGGATGTTGGAAGCAGGAACTCATTTAATCTTGGTCAATGGGACCAGCAGTACAACCCTACAATAGAATCTCAATCCATAATTAGGAAATCAAGGAGGCTTATGCTGCATTTCTCAGGAAGGCAGAACAATATCATTACTGGCAGCAATGGCAAGTCACTTTAATAGAGAATAATGTAACATTTTGTATTTGCGAAGGCTTTCACGGCCGGGATCTAATGGTTTTTGTGGGTTTTTCGGGCTCTTTGGCCGTGTTCTGAAGGTTGTTCTTCCTAACGTTTCACCAGATGCCGGCCACAGAGACTGGCGAAACGTTAAGAAGAACAACCTTCAGAACACGGCCAAAGAGCCCGAAAAACCCACAACAATCAATGTAACATTTTAATATGAGGTTTAGCTAATCTTCAAGGACAACATGAATCCTTCATACAGTAAAATAATTAAATGAGAATGGATAGTTCTGAATCAGCAAATCTACTTGAGATCAGGTGATGTGCCAAGACAAAATTTCTTTTTTAAAAAAATCACAAATATTTCTAGAGGAACTCAATTGTTTCTTCTCATCTGAAGCTGATTTTCTTTAAGTTACATCATTTGCTGCCATTACAGAATTCAGAGATGAGTGGTATACAGCCCCACTGTAAGCAACAGTAAAATTGATGCTAGTTTTAATATGTTTATGTTGCTGAAGTTCATGAGACAGATTGCAGGCTAAGTATTGTAAAACAATTCCTGAGGTTAATCTCCCCACTCCACCCCCACATATCTTCTCAGATAAGAGAAGAACAGGGCAGACATAAAGAAATCCAGCGACTAACGCAACCCCAACAAAATAGGTTGACTCTGAAGGAGAGTGTAAAAATTCTGGTCTGGTTCACAACACAAGCAATAAACCATATTACTTCATGTGGAACCATAGAAAATCCTGTTTATTATAACCATCTCAAGCTTTTCCATCCAGTCAATTCCTGCCGAAAATCTTTTCTATTAAAAGGTATGTTATTAAATGAACCCGACACATTATCAATTCCATGTGCGTATCTGTATCTTTTAGGAGTCTCCCCAAACACGCTGTAAATAAATGTTAACATTTGTTATGAAATGTTGCTCTTTTCTTGGAATGTGTGTTTTAACTTATAACCATAGGCACATGCAAGAGTTGGGTGTTCCTCTTTCCAGCAACTGCATCACTATGTCACCTTGACAAACCTTTTCTGAAATCAAGGGTAGTTACAAGAAGCAACCTGGGATGCTGAATTAGGGAACTGAAGTGGCATTCAAAAGGAGAATAGATAGGCATCAACTGAGAATTTTTATATTTTGCCTAAAGCAGCTAGCTCCCTGGATCCTGACAGATGTAAAACAAAACAAAAACGAATAAAAACTAGAAATATCTCTCTCTCTCTCTCTCTCTCTCTCTCTCACACACACACACACACACACTCTTTTAAAAATAGTACAGCTGGGCCAGGCTTTACCCTATGACACCAACCTGATACAGTCCACAGATGATGAACCCACACTTACATACTATTGAAACTGATGGGACCCAAACTCAAGTCTCATGTACTTAGGCAGTGAAAATTTATGTTTTTAATGCCTTTTGGATTTCAACAAGGCTTAATTACTTTTGATTTGTCTGGATAGCACTAAATATTTATAGATAGACCCTTACTTGGAAATCTATGCACTGGATACTACTGAAATTCAAGTAAACTTAACCAGAGGATTTTTGTATTTGTTACAATGTCATTTACTGAAGCACTGCAAATGTTGCATGAAAGCCAAACCCTTGAGGAAAGAAACAAAACAAAAAGAACCTCAACCTACCCTACCTCTAAAGTAGTGTTGTAAAGTGCACAAATATACTAGAATCTATTTTTAATATCATTTTAACTCTTTGAAATGTCATTAAAGACTCTTTTTTTTTTTGGCTCTACTATGTTGGCATAAATCAGCAACATAATTTATAAAAATAAGTGTTCAGTGGAATGGAATAGCAGCTTTTTTCAAAAATCTAAAATTAAATGCATTTGCAGTCCTTAGCAACAAACCTGACTTAAATTAAAAATGGTTTCCTTTCTCTCCACCACAGAGCTCAGGAGGTGATGGCCACAATGTACAGGCTGCTCAATGTGTGTGTAATGGAGACTTGTGCATACAGCAAGAGTCCCACTTAAGTTTCACTGCTGCAAAGATAGGTAGTATCCAGCGATGCCCTTCCGCCAGCAGAAGAAACATCACTGGTAAATTAAATTCCTCTCTACAGCTCTGTTTCTTCCCTCATAATCAGCTCCACGAGATTGGAGAAGAGGCCATCCCAAGAAGGCTGTGCAATGGAGAGGAGGTCTTGAGGGTAAGGTAATCAATCTCCAACGGCACAAGGAGAAATGTCGGCTGTGTATTGTTGGATATAGCCCTGTATCTGTAGAAGAGGGAAGCTAAACTGCAGTTTCCGTCATCATCAACGGACTCTCCTGTGATAAAGAAAAAGCTCTATCTGCATGCGCAATATTTCCTTTACACATACATATATACAAATACATGAGGTTCATTGGGCTCATAGCCAATAACATTGTTTAGCCACACTCTGGTAACAAAGTCCAATTATGATCTCTTTCTTGAAATTGCATGTCTGTGGAAAGCTATAAATGTGGCAGCTAAAGAAACCATTTAAAAAAAAAAACTCCTATCAAGTCAAGCATACATTAGAAAAGAGCAACAGTCCACTCCCTTCCTGCACATTTTACACTACTGACCGGTGCTCCCCACATACATAGACAGCACTAGGCCGGATACGTCTTCGAGTGTGACCAGGTAGCTGTGGCAGAAACTTGAAGTATTTGGGCATCAAGTCCAAGCACGCATCATGAAATTTCTTGATTCTCCAGTAATAAATCAGTGGGTTCAGAGCAGATTTGAGGTAGCAGAGCCAAAGAAGCCAAGCGCTTATCTCAAAAAAGTTGTGCTTCTGATAAAAGTGGCTGTTGAAGGTGGCAATAAGGCTGTAGGTGGTGAAGGGGGCCCAGCAGATTATGAAGACAATGAATAAAATCAAGATAGTTGTGAAGGCACGAGTTTTAAAGCTCATATCTATGTTCATCTGAAAGGGTCTCTGGAAGCTCATGAGACCCAGTTTGCTGGCTTGAGTGAGGCAGATGCTGTCTGGGTGGCTATGGATGCGGACCGCATTGCGCCGCATAGTATTGAGGATGCCCATAAAAGAGTACAACATCACCAAGAATGGAATGAAAAAGGAAATCAGGACCACCAATATTACATAGGCACGGTAGCCAGGGTTGGTTGTGTAGCTGAACACACACTGAGGTGCTTTAGAAGGTATCTGTAGGCTGGGGTTCCCCACTGAGAGTGGGAAAGCCACTACAAAGGCTGTGACCCAGGAAACTGCAGTGAGGACTTTTGCACGATAAGGATTCAGCTTATCCTGTTTCTGAACTATAATAAAGAACCTGTCAATGCTAATGATGAGAAGGATGGCACCCCCTTCAATGACAAAGAGCCAGAAAAACATGGCGGAGACTCTGCAAAAGATATCCCCAAAAACCCACTTAGTTGTGATGATGGTTATCAAAGCAAATGGCATATTCAGCACAGCAAGCAGCATGTCGGCAAAAGCCAGGCTAGCTAGGAGGATGTTAATAGCAGATCGCATTGCAGTCTTTTGATAGACCATAAGGCAGACAACAAGGTTACCAAGGAAAGAAACCAGGAGTATAAATATCATGGCAGCAGAAAGCATGATTTGAAGTGGCAGGCTCAAGCTTTTGAAGTCTTGCAAAGGAAGGGCAGGCGTGCTGTTGATGGTCAACGCTGGCACTTCATTGGTAACCATGGCACCCCAATGGTACTTCAGTGGCTGTGTTGTGCCACTACGAACCAAGAAGGGAGTGGTAATGTTTGCGTAGGCATTTTCATAGACAATAATAGTTGTGTTTAGAGTCCCAGAATGAGCTGGTGTTAGCATGGCAGAAAAAAACATCACTTCAGCAGAGCAGAATGCAGAAAGTGAAAGAAGCTTCAAGGCATTTTAGCATGTAAATGTGAGGCCATCATGATCCATGGCCATAGGCCAAATTGTAGTTACATATCCAGTAGGGAGAAAGCAGAGCTTCGCCCTTCATGGCAGTGCTTTGGTCTGGAAAAAGAAAAAAAAAGATTAACACGAATTAACACATTAAAAATGGGAATGGTACTATTGATTTTACTGACATTGCTATGGATTAAGACATATCACAGCTCACTAATTTTGAAAGGGTTCATAGTAGAGAAGAACATGTTTTAAGGCAGAAAGAGTCACATTAGGGACAGGCAGCCAGGAAAGAGCAGCAGCCCAAACAATTGTAACTGCTTGTTCACTGAGGACTGCATCAAATATTGCTTATTGTTGAACACGAATTAGTGTAAGTAACCAACTTCCTTCCTTTCAGTATCATGCCAGTCAGTCCTACATTCACCCAGTATTGCAGTCTTTAAGGATACTATGGTACCAAAGTAATAAATATATACTTTCATCACAAAAATACCATGAAGCAGGTATTTTTAATATCCTATACTAAGACAGCCTTCACTTATTCACAATCAGAATATTTATTTATTTGTTTATTTGTTTATTTGTTTATTGGATTTTTACCCTGCCCCTCTAGACCACGTCTACTCGGGGCGGCTTACATAGATAAAACAGAACAATATAATATATAAAATATATAAAATTATAAAATTAGAATTACAATTGAACAAATAATTTGAAGAAGAGTACCAAGATGGCATGGCATAAAAGGGGAGAAAAATAAGAAAGACTTAATTGGCTGGAGGGAAGGCCTGCTTGAATAGCCAAGTTTTTAGCTGGCTTTTAAAAACACCCAGCGAGGGTGCCAGCCAAATTTCTGTTGGTAGGGTGTTCCACAGCTGAGGGGCCACCGCCAAGAAGTCCCGGTTTTTTGTTTTTTCCTTCCAGGCCTCCCTCGGCATCAGACCCCTCAGCCATCCCTGCTGGCTATATCGGGTGATTCAGGTAGATCTGGGTGGGAGAAGACGATATGCCAAATATTGAGGTCCCAAACCGTTTAGGGCTTTATACGTGATCATTAACACTTTGAATATATATTTTAATCTTTCCAATACTCGTTTATTGAAGCAATCCCTTTCATACATGTTGCTGATTTAAAGAACTGGCATGCCTGTTTATGCTGAGCAAGTGTGAGATCTTATATCCATGTAGAATACATAACCACCAAGAATTGAGATCAGAGACCATCAGTTTTACCATTTAATGAATTCTGTCATAGAGTCACATTCTTTCATACAGAGAAGGATAGGAAACTACTGTAGTTTAGGAGAACTCGTTTCCAAAGCAGCACTTTGAATGACTGTCAGTTGCAATTAATCTGTATTTTTATTCTCATGCATACATACCCTTTTCTCTCCTGTTTCACTCTGCTTTGATATTAATGCTAATGTAGTATGAACTAATGTTAATAATTAACAGGGTATAAATACTAGGACAACAGGAAGGAAATGTTTCAAAGCTTCATGAGGCAAAGCAAACCAAGACTATATTTTACCCAAAATGCTGATGCGAAGTCTAAAACTGACAAGGGAAATGAGTCTGCGTCTGAGTCGCTCTTTTCAGCTGTAACAAAGAATAATCTGGCATCAGTGTCTCTCTGACAAGGAGCTCCAGAAAGAGCTCTGACTCAAATAAAGCAGCAAGCCGTATGGATAGACTAACAGCAGTAACCCACGAGGAAGCAATGTGAAAAGAAGCATGACAGGAACAAATAATTCAGGACAAAGAGAGACAGGTAATGGAAGACAAAATAAGTTTTTGTACTTTGGCGGTTTCTAACATATATATAGATTAAGCAGTCAGTCAATAGAAATAATCAGGCTGGTATGTGAAAAAGATAAAAACCTGACATATAGATCCAAGATGATATACTTCAGAATATCCTAATTTAGAGTAAAGTTGAATTTTGAAGAAAGGCTGGCCTTTCAGTACAACTAACTGTGACTAATATTAATGAATGCAGTATCATTAGGAGAGGGAGCAGTTCTAAAAGTCTTGCCTTGCTCCTAGAGGATAAAGAATTGCACCCAGCATAGAATCGCCTAAGTTACCTTCAAATGCTTGAGCGCACTCAAAAAACTTTTGCAGACTTAGGTTCAGATATACTGTATAGGGGTATACAGTATATGTTGGGAACAGGTGAATTAATTCTCCCAGACTTTCTGCAGTTGCCCATTCTGGTCTAAGCTAATGGACACTAGCTCTCTGGGGTTTCAAGCAGGGTTCTCTTCCACCCATACTCAGTGATGCTGGAGGATCCACATTCAGGACCTTCAATATGCAAAGCATATGCTCTATCATCAAGCTACACCTCTTAAGATGACTCTAGAACCCAGCCACAGCTTGGTTAAGGTGGCTACTGTGAACACCTACAGCTTTTACCATTCAAGGATAGAACCCCATAAGCAAACTGAGACAGTTGATAAAGCACAGGAAATGAAAGCAAGTTAACTTATTGCAACCTATCCTTTCTTTTGTATAAGTTCCATTGTGTCTCAGTGGGAAGGCATTGCTTAAATAGGGCAAAAATAAGAAGCCTGCTTTTCGTCATATTATTTTGTCAAAAAGGGTTTGGTGGATTGTAATAGTAGTCTCAGACATCCTGCACCAGGCATTTCATAGACACTGTTTTAGTAACCGTAAAACAAACATAATTCAATACTTAGGAAGACTATTATTTTTCCTCAGAGAGAAATAATAGTGTTAAGGGTCATGAAACTATCTTAGAGCTCCCTTCCAGATCTGTGATCACAGTAAATTACATTACAAACATAATGTATGAAGTGGGGGGTTGAGGTGGGCAAACCAATCACCCGTTGAGTCTCTTTTTCCAGGACATTATCAGTCTAGCCAGTTCTTTCATTATTTCAGCAATAATGCAATAAAGCATGAAATGTAATGACTTTTGATATTTGTTGACAGACCACTATTTTGCCTCACATGAACTTATTGCTGAACTGCTCACATGCTGATTGCCTTTATAGATTTTCATCATCAATAGGATAGATTACCTGTTCCCCTAACGCAGGACCAGTGTCAATTATAAACAGCAAATTTCTCCCATAACCTAAACAAGATAATGTCGGCTCCGCCAGTGCTTGTTGCTGAGTGGAGCTCCTTTGCCCTCCCCTCGGGATAGCGCGAGATGCACTATTCTCATAGTTTCCTGTGGGGGAGGGGGGAGCATCCTTAAAAGGACGCTCCCCCACGTGCCCGGCCTCTTTCGGGGCTTGCGTTCCCTGGCAGTGGCTGTGTTCACCACTGCAGGGATTTTTTTGCTGTGTAGCAGCCAACAGCATTGAGGGAGCTGTGGGGGGGGGGTGCACTGGCACTCCCCAAGGTTGGAGTGTAGTTGGCAGAGCCTGCTTACAGCCATTTTGTTTTAAAAAAAGAAAAGAAAAAAGGCAGAAGGAATTAGAGAACGAGAAATCCCAAGGGATTTCTTTTGTTTCTCTCTCTCTCTCTCTCTCTCTCTCTCAGCAAAATCATAAATAGGAGCAAGTTGGAAAAGGGTTCCATAAGCTTCAGAACTAAGGAGGTGGCAAACCCCCCTCATAGGGTTCGGCCCTTGGGTTGAGGCTGCTGGGGACAAGGCAAACACACTCCCCCACAAACACGCACTAAAGGCAGTTGGCAGACCCACAGCAGAGTCCATGTTCTTGGACAGAATGAGTGGTGGGACGCAAGATAGGAACCAGCAGGGACACACTCCTTCTATCTAGTCCCCAGTGTAGATAATCCACCAAGGCAGCCAAAGTAGTCTCCATTCCATAAACAGACGTAAAGTCCAGTAGAAATGGATACAGATAATCTCTTTCATCTAAGTACCTTACTCCAAATATGGAACACTGGAGATCGACCCATAATTGTCCAATACTGTGGGATGGTCCTGGCTTTTTTGATATATTTTCCAGGGCCCAGGAGAACTTATTTAACATAAGCTCCTCTGGGCCCTGGTCAGACTTTACATTCACTAGTAGGAAGGAATGTGGGTGTCTAACTTATGTATAAGATGTATATATTGTATGAGCTTACGTACACTTCCATAACCATGTCTGCTGATGTATGCAGACATGTTATGCTGATGTATGCAGGCATGGTTATGTAGCCATAGATATGGCCCATTCTGTGGCCACATCTACGGCCACAGAATTGGAATTTACTCTCCTTTTTCCCACTGCAGTTCTCTGTAGTGTCAAAAAACTTCAAAAGGCTTTCCCAAGCCAATGAAGCAGGGCTTTAGGGTGCACAGAGAGCACAGAAATTAACTGCAGAGCTGGAATCAGCCGAGTCCAGCCCCTGTCAAGGAGGCACAGTGGGGAATCACAGTCCCAACCTCTGGTATGATCCTAAAATTGGGTTTGGTGAAGCAAAGCATCTTAAAATATAGAGACAAGAGGCACTCTTTACCAACCATTTCTCCTCCACAATCTTGCTGAAGGCTGCCTGATTTGTATTCAGAACCTCTTTAAACATAATGTAGTCCCCCTATAAACTCTGACTAAGGTCTAAATCCTACCCAACTAAGTAGCATTGGAAGAATTTCCATGCTTAGAATCCACCTGCAAGCGGACACGTTTCTCACCTGTCATTCCAACGTCTGCATTACCTGGCTGTGATCCACAGACTATTTATTCTAAAGCAGCCCTATCAGATTCAAATATGCTGTTTGTCTGTTTTGAGCCTTGTCTCTGACAATAATTCTCTGTGTGAACAAAAGAGTTCAGCCCACGCAATGCAGCCTGCAAGAGGGTAGCCGAAGTACATAACCATTTATTATTGAGGATGTAATCTGAAAAGGCACAATAAGGAAAACCAAAATTGTTTTAATTCAGTCAAGGTGAAGACCTCTTATACGTAACTTCAGATTTTAAGGCCTCTTATAACTTCAGATTTTTGCTTGCATTAAACGAGGTACTCTCTTTCTTCCACTGCCTCCCTCAAAGAAGAGAAACTACGGCTTCAACACAAGAAGAGTCGGATCCCACAAACGACTAATCACCTAACCTCTGCATAATGTGCACCATGTAGTTCACAGGAAATACCTGCTTTATATGAATAAATGCTCA